ATACATACATACCTCTAGTTTCTAGGTATGTATGTTCCCCCAGACATACATACATACCTGTAATTTTCTAGGTATGTCTGTTTCCCCAGACATACATACATACCTTTAACATACATACATACCTCTAATTTTCTAGGTATGTATGTTTCCCCAGACATACATTCATACCAATAACAGACATACATACCTGTCATTTTCTAGCGATCTATGTTTCCCCACACATACAAACATGACGTCATACACACGTTTAATTCCCATGCGTCATACACATGCAGACATACATACCTGTCATTTTTTCTAGCGATGTATGTGTCCCCACACATACATACATGACGTCATACACATGTCTAATAGCCATGCGTCATACACACGTCTGCTTTTCTAGGTGTGTGTTGTGTCGTCACGAACATGCAGCAGCGGTGAGGGGTGTCACTCATAAATCGTGGGAGGGGGTGCGGGGGAGGGCGCAGCGCCTCCCCCGCGGGGCGAGCGAAGCGAGCCCCTTCGCACGTCCACGACTGTGCAACGTATGTCTGATAACCTATTACTACCCCTGCCTCGAATGATGCGACGCCTCGGTCTGGGCAGGGCCGGGTATGTTTCGCCAGACATACATACCATACACACCTATCATTTTCTAGGTATGTATGTTTCCCCAGACATACATACATACCAATAACAGACATACATACCTGTCATTTTCTAGCGATGTCTGTTTCCCCACACATACATACATTACGTCATACACACGTCTAATACCCATGCGCCAAACACCATGAGACTTACATCCATTCATACAGACATACTTCAATGCCCCCTCCATGGTCACGGGCCCTCACAGACATACACGCACGCATGCATACATACATACGTACATACATACCTGCCTTGGGGGGGGGAGGTCACGGAGAGGAGCATGCTTCATTGTGTGAGACAGTCCACGTTCATGTATACGCACATCCCGAGAATGCCACATATCTCTCTTCCTCCTTATACTGCCTTCAAGGTCAAGGGCATGATTGTTGCAGGGAAAATACATACTTGAAGGTAATCTCTGTTTGGCCGACATACCCATACCTCCTCGGTGTGTGTTTCTGGGAACGGATATAAATTAAACAACTAACGGTCTGTATCTGCATGGGAAACATACATACCGGAATATTGTGGGTAGGTATGTTTCTGCGAACCATACATATTTCAATCTCACGGGTATGTATGTTTCTCAGACCACGTACATACCTCCAAGTCCTAGGTATATATGTTTGTGGGACACAGACATACCTGGATAATAATGAGTATGTATGTTTGTGGGAAACATGCATACCGAGACACTCATGCGTATGTATCTTCCTGGGAAACATACATACCTCAAACTGGGAGCCCTGCGAAACACACAGACCTCGCTTTTTACCTGATGCTATGTCTCCGAGGAACACTCATACCCGTGCTTTTGAGGTCTGTACGTTCGGACAATACATACATACATACATACATACATACATACATGCCTCTTCTTTTCTAGGTATGTATCTTTCCCCAGACATCCATACATACCATACATACCTCTTATTTTCTAGGTATGTATGTTTCCCCGCCGGACATGCATACATACTGGGTATGTACGACTCTTCTATGTATCCGAGAAACGAACATACCCGTGCTTTTGAGGTATGTACGTTTGGACCATGCATACATACATACATACATACCTCTTCTTTTCTAGGTATGCATGCTTCCCCAAACATACATACATACCATACATACCTCTAATTTTCTAGGTATGTATGTTTCCCCGGACATACATACATACTGGGTATGTATGACTCTTCTATGTCTCCCAGAAACATACATACCCGTGCTTTTGATGTATGTACGTTTGGACCATGCATACAGACAGACATACATACATACATACCTCTTCTTGTCTAGGTATGTATGTTTCCCCAGACATACATACATACCAGACATTCCTGTCACTTTCTAGGTATGTATGTTTCCCCGGACATACATACATACTGGGTATGCTTTGAGGGTATGTACCTTTGGACCATGCATACATACATACATACATACATACCTCTTCTTGTCTCGGTATGTATGTTTCCCCAAACATACATACATACCATACATACCTCTCATTTTCTAGGTATGTATGTTCCCCAGAAACATACATACCCCTGATTTTGAGGTATGTACCTTTGGACCATACATACATACATACATACCTAGTTGGGGGGGAGGCAGGGGATGCCTGCTAGATACCTACTAACCTCCGAAAACAAGGTATGTATGTTACCCCCCTGGGGTTCTTACTCGAAAAGATGCATTCGGCTGCTGAACGATTTTGTTCTCAGGATTCCTGGCCCAGAACATGGATTTAATAGCTAGCCGCTAAGCTAGCCATCCCGAACTACCCATTCTTCCTCTCTAAGGCATTTAGACTCCAAAATCCCAGGTGAACCATTCCCAAACCATCCATCTATGGAATATCATATGCATATACGCCTACATTCACCCCTCAAACCATCTCAATGTAGGTCAACATACCAGTCCCAACATTACTCTAAGAAAAGGGTCGTGCGAGGCGAATGGCGAGGCTGGGCTGAGGTCGTGATCCATCGTCGGCCCACCAGGGAGAGCGCGCGACTCACCTGGGCCTTCGAAAAGCAATGACCAGCACTACCCACTTTGGGTGGTGATTAGATGGGCAATAGACAGTCAGGGGAGTCCAGGGGCCCCACGCAAACAGGGTGGTGCTGGGGAAAGATCCTCAAGACAATGGTGAAACATGGTCAAACTGTTCGTTGTGGGGGGAGGTGTTTATTGTGGGGGACTTATACCCAGAAAATAGGGGAGGACACGTGTTGCTTGCTACCACGCCGAGGTTTACCTTGGACGACGCGGAACAATGGAACGGCCAAGGGGATTTGATGCATTCGCCGTTTTCTCGGGAGCATTTGTCCCTGGAGATTCCTAGCTGCAGATGAGATTTGGCTTGTGTTTGGCTACTCAGCTCACGTTTGCTGAAGCCTCACTGCTGAAGGTGTAGGAATTGGTGGAATCGTGTTTTTTTGGGGAATTCCGCATGCGCGGAACATGCCCAGCGGTGCTGGTTCACTGGTTCATCCTGGTTCTTCGAAGAAGCTAAACCCTAGGATTCAAACAACAATTGTTTTAATGGTCTTTACCAAAGAACCATTGTTTTACTAAGGATTTTTACACTACAGCACCAGCCTTTGAAGGCTCGGGTAAATGTCCTCTTCAAGGCGTCATGAATGGTTTGCGAACGGTGAATTGGTTCCACCGCTCCGGGAAACAGGTTGGGGAGACCTCTAAGGTGTTGAATGTTCCTTTGCCAAGCAACAGAGGTGGGTCAGAAGAACCGACTGTTCGACTATCCCAGGCCTTCCGGGTAGCCCAGTACCTAGCTACCGGGTCCTAGTGACGACCTGGCTACCTCTCTTGGAAGCATTCGACCAGGCTCAACAGACCTGGTTGAGCGGATCGGGTTCTTTTTTCATGCTCCTTTTGGATGAAACTCCGCTGAAACGACGGATGGTGTCATTTTCCGGAGCAGCACATCCAAACACCAAACCCTAAGCCTTCCAATGCAAATATTAGAATGGTTGACCTGGTTTTCTAATCCCAGACGCTTCATGGGACTGCCATATATGGCTACATTATTATGCTACGTTGGGGTGGTTTCAGGGGTCAATGGGGCGGCATATATGGCAGTTTCATGGAGCGTCTGGGAATGTGAATAATGCACATTCCTTAGTAAAACCATGGTATTTCGGGATTCAGTGGGCGACGGGAACCCGGCCTGGGTGGAAGTCGCCAGGTTGGAGAGTCCTGTCGGTAAAACTGAACCAAAAAATATGTTGTGAAACAATGAGCAACTTTTTTTGTTTTGGGCATTGTCGCCAATTTTGGCCTTTCTATCTCCTGCGAGATCTCTTCATGGATGAGTTCTTGAAGGACCATGAATGGACCCGGTCTAACCCTAAACCCACCGGCGCATGTCGACATGAGGAAGATGGATCCCACCACTCTTTACTCTGCTGCTTGGCCTACTATTTATAAATTGAACACCTGCCCTCCTAGGTTCTCTAGTCGTTTTGAAGATCTGACACTCAACACATCCCTTTCGCGGACCGAATGCACGGCCGAGGGGATGACATCGAACAACTGGCACAGACCAAAAACATATTGCTATGCTGCATGATTCTGCTACCAGGACCCTCCAAGGGGTGTCTATTTATAGCCCCTTAGCTTTTAAGGGGTGTCCATTAACCACCCCTTGAGGGTGCTGGTATATTTACGCTACAGATCACATCAGATGACCAAAGTGCTACTTCTTAGGGAACCCGACTTTTCGCTTGAACATGTGTTCACTCTACTCAGGTGATTCATTACTTTGACATGGTCTTCCAATACCTGCATTTGGAGGCCTTCAATTAATTACTCTATATTACTCTATATAAAGGGAAAAATATCTATATAGAATGATTGTTTCTAGACACCTGCATCTTGTAGAAAAGCCTGGCTGTAACGCCGTGCTTTTGCCACTCCCAGGTGGGACATGGTGATCTGCTGGAGAAGGACCCCCGAGTCTCTCGGGTTGACGTCTCGACCGCGGGTCGAGACGCCTCGACCGCTGGGGAGCACGGGACGCTGGCCCTGGACGCTGGACAACCTGTTTAGGGCCATAGGACTGAGAAACGGCTTCCGGGGTGGTGGGTGCCAGGTCAGCGGTCTGTCTGGGGCGGTGGGGTGCGTCCTGGCAGTCCCCGACAGTGTCGTGGGACTGGGCATTGAACGACCAGGGCGGTTAGAGTTGTTTGTTGTGCAATGTTTCGCCACGCTGAGACTTTTCTACATGAAAAGCCGGCTTCGGCCACTGAAAAGTTGTCACTCCGAAAATGATTGGCTCAAGCACTCGAGATTGTGTGAGCAACCCGACCGAATGTCCGGGAGTGCTTCTGAAGAGCTACCCACATGGGGTTGCTACGCGCATCGCCCTTATTGCAACCTGCTCGCGAGCGCGGCCCTGTCAGGGGACCCATGCACTCCTGAGTTTTTACTCTTCGACTGCAAGGACAAAAAGCTGTTCTTGTGCCGCTACGTGGACACCGGGACGACCACCCTATGTCGTTCATGCTGTTTGTGTACGAATGGTGCCTTGTCTAATCCGCGTCAGCTGCTTCTTTCTCCTCGCCGGCGAGTATTTGCATCCCTGGAAGTGATCAATGGCCGTGGTTCGGTGGCCGTTTGGCAGCTGCCCGCCATCTCGGATGAGACCGAACTAGCAGCTGTAGCAGCATGCCGCTTGGGTGATGTGCTGCCCAGCGATGCAGAGAAGACTTCAAAAGCGATTTGTTGGGCAGGCCCTACGTTGCCTCCTTTCTGCAAGAGTGGGGAACAAATTGACTTTCTGTCAGTGTTGGTGGCGGAAAAGGTGCTCCTCGTGTTGGTCAAAGTTAAGCCAACTGAGACATCAGAAATGGGTGAGGTTTCTTTGGAGCAGCTACATTCTGTGAGCATCAGTTTTCCATGTCGATGCCTGTCTTGGTCCAATGACGGTACTCAGCTCCTGGTCGGTGGCAAAGGGCAACTCTCATGTTTTGCTTTTGAAGATGCCCAACAAGTGCCCTTGGTGCGGCATCTCCTTTGTTCAGGCGAGTGCGTTGAGATCCAAACAGCCTTCTCCAATGTCTTTCTGTGCCGTATCGATCAGTGTGTCGATCCATTGCCGGAGCCCTGCTTGATGCTGCCAGGGCAGGGGTTGAATGCTTCCCCCATGCCCTTGGTTCAAGTGGTGGAAAATCCCCAAGATGGGCCTTCTGAAAGACCGGGCTCGCAATCAGTGCCACCTTTTGTGAGTGCTTGGCAGAATCCCGAGCTTGACACTGGCTTGCAGGTCTTGCCTTGCCAGCGCTACCTTTTGCCCATCCGATGCTCATTGACCGAGGCCCGCGACACCTTGCGGCTCCAGTGTGGAGTCGAGCGTCCGGCTGGAGAGCTGCTGGCCGTGGCGGAGACTGGTGGCAAGGCATTGGTGGTCTTTGGCTCCATGGTGTTGCGGATCAGGTGATGTTTGTATATGTTGTTATTTTCCCTGTGGGTGATTCACTTTCTGGCGCATATGTTCCATTTTTCCCGGCTTCCGAATCAGCAAATCCAATCCCAGGCTCTTTCAACAGCAGCGAGGTGCAGTTTTCTCGTTTGGCACCTCCTCACCAATGGGCCAGTGAGGGTATCATGGGTACCGAGAGCCAATCCATGTGGCATGGAGCTGCAACTCTGAGCCTTTTGCCACAAGCATCCGATGTTTGCTTCAAAGAATGCTGTTTTTGTTGAGGTGTTCTTCATTGTCCGTCAATAGGTGCTTTCATACATATTCATCCCATTTGACTCCAAGAGAAGCGCTGCTGCAAATGGAGGCCTCCTGGCCTCCAACCTGGTCACCTGCTGCCCCCAACCTGCCCGCTCAGGCATCCTTGAGACTCTCGGGTCTCGCTCTCTGGCGTGCGGCCCCAGCCGCTCCTCCGGAGCTCCACGCTGTGTTAGAAGCGCCTTCCGCGGCCGGCGAGTTCGGACGCCCGAAGAGGGAGCTCTTCCATCGGTCACCCGGGCTTCTTCCGGGTGTTGTGTGTGTGTGTTGTTTTTGTTTTGTGCAATTCAATGTTGTGTGGTTCAATTTGTGTGTGTGTTATGTTTTGTGTGTGTAGCATGTGGTTTTAGTGCTTTTTTTTCCGGGTGGACTTTTGGTTGATGTTTCCCTGGCTCTTGAGGTTCCTGAGTGAATCCCCCAATTTCAACTCAGCCATTTTGTGTCACTCAGGTTCGTGAAGATGCTTGAAACCTCCAAGAGAGGTAGGTTAAGTGACCAGGTCACGAGGACCCATCCACGTGGGGTACCCGGAACACCTGGGATAGTCGAACTAGATCGGTTCTGACCCACCCCCTGGGAGTCCAAGTCGACTCTAAAAAGAATGGTTTGACGAACGGGGACCTGAGTCTGGGAACATCCTTTACTCCAGCCAGTCAAAATATAGGACCGAACTGGACTTCTAGGGCACCTTTTGAAACCTGGAGAAGTTTCTGGTTCACGTTGGCAACCGTCCCAGGTCCGAGAGTTTGGCGGAGGAACCCATGAGCCCTACGACGGCACCCAAGCATCTAGAGCCCAGTGGTGAGGAAGGCATGGACCGCGGTCACCTGGTTTTGGCTGATCAGGTGAGCTCTTGGATTTCCCGAACTGGGTCAACCCCCTGGCATGGGGAATGGTTTTTATGCCAAACCTGGTTTTGCTTAGGGAATTGGTTGTTTTCGTAAATCCCCTTCTGGGCAATATGTTTCGAGTTTTGCCAGCCATATTAGTACTGTGAATCAAGGCTAATCGCAGCAAGTTCCCTGCGCACAGCGAGTCACGGCGACGGGAAGTGGTTTGGATGTGTTCTCCGTCCGAATCAGCCAAACCCGAGGCCAGGAGCACTCTCCACGACCCGGTCGAGGCTCGCAGACCTCGCAGACCCTGCAGACCCTGCAGCTTCAGAGCATCGCGGAGAACGTCGCGGGCATGCGTCAAGACACCCGGCAGTTGCTTGCAGGTGCTTTTCGGGCGGAGCTGGATGGATTTGGTTAGATGATGTTAGATGTGTTCTCCCGGTGTCCTGGAATCCTCCAGTTTTAGTCTGGAAGATGTTTTGGCTTTTTGTCCGGTTCCTGGAAAACTTAAGTCCAAGGAAATGAGTGGTTTGAGGGAGAGCTTGGATGGATTTCGACAAGATTTCTCCCGATTGGTGGCGGCCGTGGAAAAGCTGGCCAATTTGAAGGGCTGACGGATGAAGTTCCGTCTGGCCAGTCGAGCAAGGAGTCTCCAAAGCAGAGAACACCTTCTTCGGAAGTGGCGAAGAAAGGACGTAAACAAGGTTTGCTTAAACATCCGCATCGCACCCACAGTGATGAAGTGGTTCACACCTGCTATACAGCTTCAATGTTCACCCTTGATGAATTTTCAATGGGGCATTTGCCAAGAGAGGAGCCCACCAACCTTTTTCGGCGTTCAGAAGGCCAAAGTCTGCGACTCGCAGGGAATGAGGGAATGACCCCTCCTCTATAGATAGGTTACCTTAGGATCATTTCCTGATTCCTTACTAAGCGCCAGTCAGTTCTTGAATCATGCTGTTTCAACAAGAGGCTGTATGATGCATCAATGCATCACATGATCCGTGCACCAGGTCTAAAGTCTACTGCACGTCGCCTCAAGATGCTGCATTTGTTTTTCATCATACTATATACCTCATATATACCTCAGTCTCAAAACAACAACCAAATCAGAATAACGCATACCAGGACCATCCAATTGCTGTCCAATGGGCTACTCTACACTACTATCCGGGATCTCCAGCCAGGACACCCAGACAGGATGGTCCAGGTGTACATAATATATATATATATATATCAGGTTTACAGACTTCAGGCGACTTCAGCAAATCCCTGTTTTTCTTGTGTGTGTGTGTGTTGGGAACCATGCTGGATTCACCGCATGGATTCACCGCGAGCGCCGGTGAGGACTTCTTTGAGATGCTCCAGTGCCATTCAGTGAGGCCGGAAAGCCATTTGCATTGAGAAACATGCCGGACAACTCACGATCGATCCATGGGTGATAGAAGATGCCTACTATATATATTATATATATATCTTATAGTATATATATATATATTCAACATGTAGGCTCTTGATTAATTGACCGCCCATTTGAATTGAAAAACCATGAAAAGCCTCTTCATATGGGTAGGTTTATTCATCAAGAGTCTTCATTTTATATAAATAATTACAAATATAAAATTGATACAGTACATGTCATGGAACGCATATGGAACGCATTTTTGTTTGCCAAAGCTTGATGAGAAAAAGACAACAACAGATTATATAAAACCGGATAACGATGAGCCAACTGTTGAATACGTTTGACACCCGACGCCACTCCATTGGAGCCAGCATCATTTTTTTAAAAGCGATTTTCCCTTCATTTGGGTGCTGCAAGACTCTGAGTCAGTTCGATCCCCAACTGACCGCCGGGTACGGTCAGTTCATCCTACATGGTTTCGCCATGCGAAATTCCCATGTGACACGCAGCGCCATGCGAGTTCCGCACAAGCACTGTTCCGCCAGGGTTCTCTACGACCTTCGGCCCACCGACTTCAGGCCGATGACAGACGGGACGGCGGTTTCTTTCCGATGGATACGGCGGATGGAGAGCAGAAACAGTCCAAACATGTCCAAACCAAGATGTAAGTGAACTAAGTTAAGTTATTAGCCAATTGTTTGTGACGTGTGTTCGTAGGAAAATATGTTTTCTCCAATGTGTTGGGATGAAAATGCTGAAAGATCAATGTTGCAGCCGGTTAGAGGAGGAAGGTGATGGGTGCCGATGTTCATCCCCACCGACTTGCGCATCCCACATCCCAGCGCGACCGTTCATCCCCTGCGCTGCGACACCAGGGGCGAATTCCATGCGCGACACCAGCGCTTCAGCCTGTCAGCCCTGCGTGGGCAATGCCACTTTGCCTTGGGAAAGATGAAGGCTTCGGTGAAGTGACCTTATAGGACCCGTCACCTGGGGTACCTATGGGATAGTCTATAGGGTAACCTCTGTTGGTGGTGAAGGCTTCGGTGAAGACCATCGGTGCATTATGAAACATCTGGACGAACACATCACATGGAAGATCATGTGTCACATGTCACATGTCCACATACGTCTTGCCATGAACAGGGGTGAACTTCCATGTTTAGGTTTCAGAGAGCGAATAGGACGACTGTAGTATGGCATGAGTGTCCTGTACTACCCAAGGGCCCAAGGGCCTACAGCTTGCAACATCTTGCAGCAGCATAATGATTTGTACTTTTTGATGATCTCGACGCTACCTGTGGTCGAAGAGTTTGTCACATCTGGCAGAAAAAGACATGAAAACCGGGGAAGTCATAGGTTGGGTGACAACTCTATTTTATAGAGCATAGAGCGAGGACCATCAAATAGATAGTGGCACGGCACGGTGTCCAATACATTTTGAGTGGGGATCTGCTTTTCTATCTATTTGGGGGTCTATACCCAGACACTCCATGTATGCCTTATATGCCTACATTGACCCCCCAAACCACCCCAATGTAGGCATATATGGCATACATGGAGTGTTTGGGATATATAGATCATTCAGGTCCCAGGTGGTGCGACCTTCCAGCTTGGCACGAGTCGCGTGACCTTCAGTTGACGAGTCGGAGAGTCGGCGAGTCGTCGCGTGCTGGTGCTCCGAATCACCCCCGACTCAGGCGGCTCAAGCAAGCTTAAGACCGTGACCCATTGGTTTTGATAAGTTATGATAAGTTCATGCTCCGTTCCTCTCTTCCCCCCGTTTTTTTTTTGAGAGGCTGGGCCTATACCTACGTGATAGAGGCGCTTGAGCGCCGCACCAATTCTTTGCCGAGGTCGTGCCAGGGGGATCTTCTTCAAATCCATGCCCATTGGACGTGAAAGCGCCTATGGCACCCTGGCCCACATCAGGAGACCACCGACTCGGCGACGCGTGCGGTGCTTGGTCGGGGAGAGATCCGGGGTTGAGCTGCCGGAGCCATGAAGAGAGGCGGAAGATGTATGAAAATGTAGGCTTTTGATTTATAAGCTCCTCCCATTTGAATTGAAAAACCTCTTCATCAGGAAGAGTCTATCTTAGACCTAGAGTTCAAAATCTGGCAGCCCCGTGTTTAAAGGACATTCAAAGTCTATAAAGGACGTTCAAAGACCATGTTTATAAACAAAGAGAGACCAAAGATGAGACACCTGAGAGATGAAAGATGAGACAAATGAGACCGTGAGACCAAAGATCCAAATTGATTTGTTCTAACGGAGTGGCAACGTTTACGTTTAAAATACATTGATCCTTTACATAGCTTACGTGGCTGAGACTGGGGAAACATCGTTTCCGGTGGTTTGGGCTTCCAGGTTGTCATCCTATGTTAGCATATGTTGGGGTGTCCTCGAGCAATCAGGATCCTCCCAAAAAAAGCTTCAGGGTGAGAAAGCTGGTCTCACGCTTCCCCCCAAACCGCGCTCCTACATGGCCTCCATTCCTCCAATGGCCTCCATGTTGGCACACACAACGTGCCAACGACCACGCGGACCACGCGAGGAGTGATGAAGGCCAACACACCTTGGTGGAACTCGCATGGCAGGCCAAGAGGCGAAGAACTGGGGTGGTACGGGCCAGAAACGCTAAGAACGTGCTGCTGGTCCTGAGAGTAAGAATTCTTAGAAGATGTGGCCTGCCGCCTTTGGGGATGCACGTTTGGTCCATGATTCGGCAAAGAAATGACCACGAAATGTGCTCATGGACTCAATGGACTCCAAACCAATGTGTTCATGGTCATCATGTGGTTTCGGAAGTTGAGAGATGTGGTTTTCGAGCGTCCTGGAATGCATGTCTTGGGTCGAGCGGCAGGAAGCGCACGGCATTTCTGGGAAGCCCGGAGCCCAGTCGTTTCTTGAAAGTTTATTATACACTCCCCGGAAGCTTCGGCCTTGAACTTGAGGTCAGGAGCTTTGGAATGAGGTCAGGAGCCCTAGAGACGTCCCCGCGGTTTTCTCACTCGCACCAAAGAGCCGACGGTACGAAGAAAAAAGCGGGGAGACGACGGTGCGACATCCTTAGTGAGGTGGTGCATTTTGGTCCATGGACTTCTAAAACATCAGTTAACACATGAAAACACCCCCAGCTGGGGGTATGCGTATACATGTGTATGTTTTTTAGCAGTTAGATCTTACCAGCATTTTTTGTGACCCTGATGAGTTAACTAGCTGGTCCGCTGGGACATTCACACGGTCTGGACCAGCACCAGCAGCTTGCACTAGCTGGTCCGCTGTGCCCCAAAACGCCAAGGACAACCGCCAAGTCATTGCGGACGAGCTGGTGAAAGCAGGTCAGCCCTGCAAGTTCCGCAAACAGTTGAAGCTTTCCGCTGGCGAAAGGGGGCTAGAAATTCCCCTATAACAGAGTTCCAGTCGTACCTTCTCTCAGAAGGGTGGGACTAGGGTGGATGGATTTGGAGGGTCCAGTGTTGCCCTTGCCCTAGGGTTCTAGAAGCCGTAGATGGCCCATTGGCATCTAATGGCTATAGTTGTCCCCAAATTGTACAACCAAATCTGGAAAAACAACGGTTACTGGTTACCCCCGATACGGACCAAACCCACTCCATGACCAAACCCAGCTTCGCCGTTCTGGTGTGCAGAGGACATCAGGTACTTCATGTTCGCAGCGATGGGTCCACTGAGCAGCATGTTCCTGGGCAACTTGGATTGAACTGGATGTGGGAGCCCAAATGCCTGGAACTCACATCGAAATGGATGGCACGGCGTATGGCATGGCCAGCTTGGACACCCCTGAAAAACCATGAAATCCGAAGACCAAGCAGGGGATGTTCACATGTGTTCACTCCACTTCCGCACCAAGGAATGTCCCTGTCCCTTGAAGGATTCGTGGTTTTGCTTAGGGATAGTTCTGTGTGGGTGAATCACTTCCGGGGAATGTTTCTTCCAAGACCTCCTGGGAGCAGCGCCCTCCAAGATAACCAGCTGAGGACTCAATACCCAGACTGGCTCGTGCGAGAAGAGGACGTGCATGAGCAGACCGACGACGCGCGGTGACGCGCGGTGTCAGAAACCGACCACGACCCATGGACAATCAGAGACCAGACCTACAATGGAGAAAGGCATCATTTGTCCACTCGATGGGAACTGGTATGTAAGTGTCAATTTGCTGGATGTCTGATGCGCTGGTGCAAAAACACGGACGTTACTACCTGATGTGCAATCGCTGTCCCTATAGACTTCCAAAACTATTTGTTAATACATGGTGCACCTGGCATTCTATAGTTTAGAATCCTTAGTGTAGGTCAGTGTAGGTGTAT